GAACTAGGCTTATACTTGACGTATAGAGTTCTTGGTCTTTATGAAAATCCTTAGCGCACATGCTTCATCAAATGGTGTTTCTTATGACTTAACTATTATGATGAGCCGCTACAAAATAAAATGTTAGTCATAAACAATCGTGCCCATCTATCATCAAAATCCGGTAAAACCAACTTTAGGGCTTAGATGCATTCACTTACTACTCGAAGTTAGCCATCTAACAAGGGAGTTTCCACCAACTTGTTGTACAAAAGCATAGATGCACATGTACATTAATTTACTAGGATTTAGTTATAACCAATTAAAAACCAATCCTTTAAACCGATCAAGATATGATCTCTTTGTAATCCTTACGACCATTCCTTCTAGCTAAATCTTGGCATGCTAAATTTTGTCTTAGCTAAAAGAATCGATGGGTCTTAGGCCATGCCTAACGCGACACCGTGGCATGCTGCCGATGTTGGCACTGGTTACATCTGTCATACGAGACACTGTAGCCCCGTAGAGTCTCTCGCAGAGGCATCTGTTGCCTTGCCTGACGAAAAGCTAGAGCTGGAAGAACGAGGACTCCAAGAACGAGGACTCCAAGATGGCATCTCTTTTTTGAGCTTTGTTCCTCTACACATCTACCAGCTTTGGACCATTGGGTAACAGAGACGAATAAGAGGGTGTTTGTTGCTTCTCATAAATTTTAGTTGCTGTGTTTATTAGATGTTTGGATATATGTATAGAGTATTAAATATAGATTAATTACAAAACTAATTATATAGTTTGCGACTAATTTACGAGACAAATCTTTTGAGCCTAATTAGACCATGATTTGACAATGTTTTGCTACAGTAAACATATGCTAATGACGGATTAATTAGGCTTAAAAATTCATCTCGTAGAGCACTGACGGATTATGTAATTTATTTTTTATTAGTATCCGAAAACTCCGTGCAATATTTTTCCAATACATATCTCCTAAATTTTAGTAGCCGATTCAAAACACGCCTTAAGCCTACTGAGAGAATCAAGCTCTTGTCCCATCAATATCTACATGGCCTATAACTTTAGGATGCGGCTAACGTCCGTCTACGTGGCTTATAAGTTAGCTGATACTGTTTTATTAGGAAAGAAAAGCACCCTATCACGACTAATAAGCTATATTGTCTGTGTTAGGTTTGCTCTCATCTTCTCTCTCCTATCTCTGACTTCATTCATTCACTAGTTCCACGAAATCTAAAATTTGGATTATAAACCGAAAGATTTTTTCTCTCACACCAAACCATGAAGATAAAATTCACGATCGTATGATAGTATGTATGGAGTTTTCATATCTCGCAATGAATGTTTGCTTTTTGCAATCAATCTTCATAAACCAATTGCATGAGCTTTGTAATAACTTCATCGCTGAGGTTCGAACGTTTTTTTAATTAGTCAACGATTGAACAATTATTACCAAATTTGTGTGAAAAAAAATACTATTCCGACTGAAAATTTATGATCGTTTACGACAAGCCACATCCAAACGAACAGGCTCTATCTCTACTAAGTTGGCACAAATGTCAGGTCGATAGGGATGGAGGTATCTTCTCTACTAAGGCCCTCCTAAGAGCATGTTTGGTTTACCCCTCCTAAATTTTAATTACTTTTAATCACTAAAATACCAAACACCCTCACTAAAGTTTAGGGGTCACTAAAGTTCTGTGGCTTTTAGTCATCAAGGGTAGCTAAAAATGACTAAAGTGTATATGGAACAACTGCTTTAGTGGATAGAACCAAACATGAGTCACTAAATTTTAGGATTAAGTCCACTTTTGCCCCTCAACTATTAGGTTCGTCTAATTTTGACCTCTCAACTACAAAACCGTCTAATGTTAGTACCTCACCCATAAAACTGTTCACTTTTAGCACTTGTGCGCGGGTAAGGCTGTTTTATCCAACAGGAAGCGGTTTTGACCATCTCAATGACATGTGGGGCCCACGCGTCATCGACTCAACCATCCTCATGGCCACTCCCCGACGCCTCCTCTCTCTACGCGCGGCGACATTGTCGGACTGAGCATCACCTCGATCGACCTCCAGGGTCCGCTCCCGGCCAACCTGCAGCTGCTTGCAGCGTCGCTCAAGACGCTAGAGCTCTCTGGCACGAACCTCACCGGCGCGATACCAAAGGAGATGGGCGGGTATGGCGAGCTGACCACCCTCGACCTTAGCAAGAACCACTCACCGGCGCGATCCCTACCGAAATTTGTCTTGACTCATTAAGCTCGAGTCACTCGCGCTTAACTCCAACTCCTGCGCGGAGCCATCCCGGACAACATCGGCAAACATCACAAGCTCAGGCGTGTCGATGCTCTATGACAACGAGCTCAATGGGCCGATCTCGGCCAAAGATCGGCAACCTTTGAAGAAGCTGCAGTGCTCAAGCGCGCAGCGGGAACCAGGGGATGAAGGGTCCGTTGCACCGGAGATCGGCGGATGCAAGAATTCCTCACCATGCTCGGGCTCACGGAGATCTGGCGTCTCGAGGAGCCTCTTGGAGACGATCGGCAGCTCAAGAAGATCCGCACCATTGCCATCTACACCACTCTACTCTCTCGTCGGATCCCGAGTCCATCGGCAATCGCATCGAGCTCACCACCTTTCATACCTATACGAAATTCTCTCTTGAGCCGATATCTGTCCAACTTCGGCCAGCTCAAGAAGCTCTAGACGCCGCTTCTATGGAGATCGAAGATCGACTTCTCGAGATTGCACAACCTCACCCCGTTTCTGGCGTGGAAGAACCGGCTCACTTTGGTGGCGTCTTTGGCGAGCCTCGCCGAGGCCCCGAACTCGCAGGCGCTTGACCTGTCGTCCAACAACCTCACCGCCCCCATCGCCAAAGGCGTTGTTCGTGCTCCGAGAACTGACCAAGCTGCTGCCAGTAGCCGGCACGGCGGGGCGGGATTGGCTCCGCCTCGGTCCATCTCGATTCCATGCCGTCCGGCTTCAAGGTGGCGTGGTCCGCCGTCCGGCCGCTTTGCTATATAAGGCGCGCCGCCACGAATTCGCCCGCACGCGAGCATGAGGTGGAAGAAGGGAGCGGGCGCGAGCACGAGGTGGGTCGTCGGAGACGACGTGGGGAGGGTCGCCGGGGAGGGCCGTCGGAGACAGCGCTCGTCCCCGGCCCATGTCGACGGGAGCTCAATGACGAGCCGGGCGCAACAGAGGTGCTTCGCTTTGCGTGTATACGCATCTGGCGCGCGCCATCTCGGACAAGCCTGCGTCGGGGATGTCGGGCTGCGATGTCGGCGCCCTAGAGGCACACCTCAGCACGCGCGGGTGGTCTCACGCAGAACTCCGCCATTGCGCCACCACCTTGCAGCTTCGCCGGCGAGAAACCGCCGTCGCTCTCACAAGACGCCACAGACAGCCAGCTCCGCCAGACGCCAAGAAGCGCCATGGCGAGGCTCGCTCACCTTCCGTCCACCTTTACACAAATTACTCATGCACGTGGCTATCGGCGACCAGTATTTGGAGCACACCCTTCCACATGGCGCTTCCTCCTCCCAATCTGCAGTGAGCTCAAGCGCCGGGCGAAATTTGGGCAGGCGTGGCCCGGCGGGAAGAGCTCCCTCTGCTGCCGTGCTTCGCCACGCAGCCGCCACACCCACCGCGCGAGGGACTAGTGCCACCACCGCCACCAGAGAGAGAGAGGAGGCGTCGGGGGAGTGGCCATGAGGATGGTTGAGTCGATGACACGTGGGCCCCACATGTCATTGAGATGGTCAAAACCGCTTCCTGTTGGACAAAACATCCTCACCCGTACACAGGTGCTAAAAGTGAACGGTTTTGACAGTTGGAGTACTAGTATTAGACGGTTTTGTAGTTGATGGTTAAAATTAGACGAACTCAATAGTTGATGAGCCAAAAATAGATTTAATCCTAAATTCTAAAGCGGTCACTAAACTTTAGTGGAGTGGATGGAACGACCCTAGGTGAGCGCTTATGTCAGGAGGACAGGGACGAAGACACACGCCACGTTGAGCCCATGTTTAGTTCGCGAAATTTGAATTTTAGGATTACTGTAGCATCTTCGTTTTTATTTGGCAAATAATGTCTAAACATTGACTAATTAGGCTTAAAACGTTCGTCTCGCAATTTTCCACCAAACTGTGCAATTAGTTTTTCTTTTCGTCTACATTTAATGCTCCATCCATAAGTCATCCTTTTCATTCGATGTGCGACGATATCTTTAATGAAACTTTTTAGATTTTGGGGTCAACTAAACCAGGGCTGAACGTTAGAGCAGAAATGCCACGTCACCGAAATTTCCTACACCAAACTTTCGGTCCCTGGAAGAAGAATTCTCTCTACGGCGTCATTTCTCATATTTCTCCTTTTTATACGTCGCTGTCCCACTGTATCGTGACCAGAGTCAAAAAGGCAGGACGGGGTAATTTTCCCAAAAAGGTGCACGAGAAGAGTGCAGAGATGCGGCTGAAACACGCTGGATCCGGCGGACAAAGCAGCGGCGCGCATACACAATCCAGCACCGCAGCGGCAGGCGCTGGCGTGCCGCGTGCAGGCAGGCGCTGTGCGAGCGCTGCCTGCCTCTGCTTCCCACCGATCCCACGCACTCGCCCTTATCATCGATCCTCCCCCCGCTCCCATCCGCAATCCCCACCCCCGCCGGGCCACCGCCCACGCCCCACAGCCATCCCTTCTCACCCGTTTCCCCACTCTCGCTTGCTTGCCTGCTGGTTGCTGCGAACAGACATCACAGCATAGAGTACTCCACAGCATACCACCGCTGCACACACAAACCACCGGGAATAAACAACTCCCACTCCCAGTAAATTTCGCGGCTCCCCAACCTCCGATTCGAGGAAGCTGTAGGAGGGGACTTCGAGCCGCGGCGATCGGGACAAGAGTGGCCCTCGACCCGTCCGCGGCTTGAATTGCCGAGAAGCCGAGAGGGATTGGATTGGAGTGGAGTGGAGTTGCGGGAGGTGGGAGAGAAGGCAGCGATGGGGCGGCTGTTCCTGATGCGCCTGGACGGCAATGTCTACAGCTGCAAGCACTGCAAGACCCACCTCGGCGTTGCCGGCGACATCATCTCCAAGGTTCCTCTCGACCTCTCCGCGTCTCCCCGCTTCCAAAAAAAAGAAATTTTCTTGTTGATTTTCGCCGTCCCCGCGGCGGATGCGTGCGGTGAGGCTGACAGCGGTTGCTTTCCTTGGTGTTTCGATTTCTTCCAGGCCTTCCACTGCAAGCACGGGAAGGCGTACCTCTTCCATAAGGTGTAAGTGGCCTCTTGCCTTTCTCTTTGCTTTGTTCGTCGATTTCAGCAAAGCTTAGGTTGCGTGCGCTGTGCACTATTAGATGAGTGTAATTTGGGGAAATGCAGCGCCGTCCTTTTTCATTTCTCAGCAGAATGTGTGTGGCTTCGGCCAGAGTGAATCTGTCAGCTGGTTATTTATGCTCATAGTGGCGCTAATCTGATGTTTCATAAGCCAAGATAGATACTACACCGATTTGCGGTGGCGTGTGGCAGTTTTCAGCCAGTGAGAGTCTTGTCTATTCCTTTCTAAAACCAGGAGAAACTTGGGGTACTTTGGAGTGCCTATTGACTTTTGAGGACTGAGACTCCAAAGCCACTATTTTTGGATAAGGAAAATATGTGAAGCAAGATTACAGAAGGAACTCATTTTAAATTATAAACTCTACTAAATTATCAGTAGATGGTTTGCATTGCATGGGTATACAACTATATGCTACAGCACCCACCCAATAGACAAATATCAATGTCTTAATCCTCTGTATGGAATAAATGGAGAAGAATCCACGAGACAAGGTGCGGTGGTTTCAACCCCCCACACCCACATTTCTTTCATCTACTATTCTCCTTTCTAGGGTGCGCTGGATATGCTGGAGGCACAATCTTCAGACTTACCTTTTTTCCTTAGAAATCTTTATAGTGATCTAGTAGTAGTTGGCAAAGGTTCTTATTATTAGCGTTTATCTAGATTTATTTTCAGCACTTTATGTCTTAACAACTGGTCCCTAGTTCAACATTGGTCCATATTGTTCTGCCTTTCCTCGACAAGTAATTTAAAGTGTGGTTGAATGGACCTCGATACATATGCTTGCAGGTCATGTCGGATACCAATTCTAGACAAGTAGTTTACTTCCAGACAATAACACTGTCACCTAAGTGGTCAATAAACCTGTTGGATTTTGATCCTAATTCTGTTCCTAACCAAAAGTTAAGTCTAATGTTCTCTCCTGGTTGCTTCATATCTCATGCCATATCTATGTATCAGTACTTACCGTTCTTTGTCGAGAAAGGAAATGTCGATGTGTGCATAAAAATGTTTTTTTCTGTTACTGGACTCAGCACACGTGTTCCTAATACAAAGCTTCATTTGGAAGTAAATAACCATTATCTTCCATCACAAACCGGTTATGTACTTAGCTTTTCCTAGATAGTATCTGTAACTCATTTCTCATAGAAGCCCACTCTAAACTAGGAGACAGTTAAGCTAGCTAGGCACATAAGCCTGATCTCAGGCAAATCTCTCCATTACCAAATTCGCTAGTACTCAATTATTGTCAGACCAGAGCTTCTGGTGCGGCAGAAAACAGATGTACTAGAACTGCTCAATAATGCGTCCTGGACAATTTGATGATGTCTTACCAACGAGGTCTAAATTTGGTAGTTGGTGATTCAATATCAAAACAGTTCATTAGCTCCAATATTATGCATTTCACTGTTTGGTAGGATTTACGGTGCAGCTTTTTCTGGAGATGAGTTGTATTTCTTACAGTATTCTGTCAGCCAGCAGATGTATCATTAACTCATGTCTGTTATGCCCAGTGTCAATGTGACTTCTGGAGTAAAAGAAGATCGCATGATGATCACAGGAATGCATACTGTTTCTGATATCTTCTGTGTTGGCTGTGGATCCATCGTTGGATGGAAATATGTAAGATTTGCAAAGGTTATTTCATAGTGTCCTTTGTATATTGCCTTGCATCTAAGTTTTTATGATGCTCTTCTCTAGGAGGCTGCACATGAGAAGAGCCAGAGATACAAGGAAGGAAAGTTTATTCTGGAGAGGTGATGGCCGCAACATTCTATCATGGTTTTGTTGCCTTAGATTTGTCCTTTCAAAAAAAGAAAGAAATAAATTGTCCTCTGTTCAAACAGATCTGTGACTCAGTTTGCAAAATGCCGCATTGATTATTATATTGCTAATCTTGAATTGACTCACTGCAACAAAATTTTATTCTAAGCAGGTACAAGGTGTCGGGCCCTGATGGAAGCCAATACTGGATTGCACCAGATGTTAACTTGGACGGAAGCGACGCCGATGATGTATGAAGTGCAATTCAACAAGCTCAAGCCTGTTGTTCATCCCCTGTAAATAACCTGGGTGTTGTTGCTCTTTAGTCAGCCGGGGATTGCCCCATTGAAAGAATCCCCGGCGTAAATTGTTGTTGTTCTAGGTGACATGATCATATCCCTTCCATTGTCCCTGGAAGTCGTTGGATGTTTCTGTTGTATATGCGTGTAACCTGTAACCTGTGTTGCTTATAAGCCCATGTATGCCAAGCGCCAATGGCCAAATAATTGAAGTAAGTTTCTCATCTCAAGTGTCTGATCGATCTGGATGCCATGCTAGGACTGAAGGTATGTACAGATCTGCGTTATATTGTGTGTTCGGTTCCAAGGTCACTCTAAATAATCGAATAACCAATATAATTGCACGCCTGTTTCTAAGATGCACAGTGCTACTATCATGTCTACTGTGGGCCTGTGTGGTGGAGCCCTGCTTCCAAATTCTTCGTTTTAGCTCTTGATATATATTTTTTGAGTGATTCTAGTGGGGAAGCAAGCGAGGATTAATTTTGGAGTGATTTTTTAGCAATGGTGAGCGGATTTTTTTACTCTCAACTCCTAGTGTAAATGCTCTTCACTAGAATCTATGCGGAGTTTCGCTGTTTACGTGATGAGGAGTGATTCTCGATTTCTCGTGGAGAACCGCTCTAAGAAGACCTGCCAAACGACCCCATATATAACAAATAAAGTCCGGGCATGATCCAGTTTTACTCATCTACAGAAATAACTTCATCATCAAACAGAAGGGTCGACCATGATCTAGTTTTACTAATCTACAGAAACAACTTCTTCATCATCAAACAGAAGGGAGGGGGATGGCGGTGAGAATGAAGTGGCGTGTGTCCGCTGGTCAGCAATTTGGGACCAATCGATTGGTTTTCAGTTCACTGCACTGGACCAAGTACGATACGATCATACGACATGTAGTTGATCACCATAAGCGGGGAGAAATATCATTTGTGTCCTTGCCGAGCTCACCGGCCATGGCGATGGCGACACCATCTCGGTCGAAGCTACGCTTCAAGTCAACCGTTTGGGACTGTGTGTGTGGGGATACATTCGGTATTCCTCTGTGATGATCCACCGATGCCTTGCCTCTGACGTCTGAACTCTCGACCCCACGACTCGACGTCATTGTCGACTTGTCGTTGGACACCAGCTTAAGCAAACCAGGTTGTCTTCGCTTGGGTTTGGCTGTTGTCAAGCACTCCGTCCGTCCTACTGCACGAGTCTTCCGATCGCTCCGTCAGGGCACACACCGATCCCCGCGTCACCGGAGTGGTTAGCGCCGGAGAAGGGATGGAAGCACAAGCACCGGAGGAAAACGCGGCCGCTGCTGCCGTGGACGCCGTCACCCAGATGACCAACCGCTTCAGCGCCATCAACACGAACGACGCCGACGCCGGTCCCCTCAAGCTCGACGACGTGGACGGCAACGTCTACAGCTGCAAGCACTGCCGCACGCACCTCGCCGTCGCCGACGACATCATCTCCAAGGTCCGTCGTCGTGTCCTCTCGCTTTCTTTGGCCGCGACTTCCTAGCTAATTTTCGGCGTCGCGGCGAATGCGATGACTGATGAGAATATGTCTTCATTTCCAGAGCTTCCATTGCAAGAACGGCAAGGCTTACCTCTTCGATAAGGTGTAAGTGCTTTTTTTCAATTGGCATCCTAGAATAAAATCTGTGTCGCCAAACTTTCTAATAAAGACTAAACTTATATATTTGAAGTTGAAGCTAGCATATAGATTCTAAGTTTTCTCTAGGTGAGTTATACTGTTCGTAGTATTGTGTCTCCCTCAATGCCTCATAAACCAGGATATGTGCCAGTGCCTGAACTTGCTTATGTTACATGTATATGCCCAGTATCAATGTGACCGTTGGAGAAAAAGAAGATCGCATGATGATCACAGGGATGCATTCCATTTCTGATATTTTTTGTGTTGGCTGCGGAGAGATTGTTGGATGGAAATATGTAAGATTCCTAATGATTATTTTGTGATATAATATCCTTTGTGTATCGCCTGACACCTCTAAGTTCTATGACGCCTCTACTCAGGGGGCTGCATATGAGAGGAGCCAGAAATACAAGGAAGGAAAATTTGCTCTCGATAGGTGATCATATCTGATATCCTGTGTTTCATGGTTTATAGTACTAGTAAATATGCCTTCGCCATATATTGATTTCCATTTTTTTTCTATTGTCCTTTCTTTAGAGAAAGAGCGTACTGTATTCATCAATCAGAAATTTACAATCGTTTTCAAGTAACTCCATAGCATAAACTGGTGCCTGTGCGTGTGACCATTTGGCTAATTCATTAGCTACTTGATTTCAGTCTCTTTTCATCATTACAACTTAAAATTGTAGAATAAGATGCATGATGAAGACCCTTGCCTTCTTGAATGAAAAATAATATACCTCAGTTATATGATCATGTTTGGATCCAACTGGCTCTAATAGCTAATTGTTAGTTGGGTGGCAGCTAAGACATTAATTTGGACTTATTAACTGATGATCCAAATAGGTTCTCGGAAATTTTGGCAGCTAACTATTAGTTGTAGGATCAAAACAGGATATACATCTACAACTTGTTTAGCCTAGCTAGGATTCACTTTATTAGTGAATAAAACTTCAATCTTAAGCAGGTATCAGTTGCTTGGACCTGAATGAAGACATGACCAGGTGGCAGTGGCACACGGTGTTCAGTGTGGCATTGTGGCTGGAAGGGACACTGGTGATGCATACTGTATATAACTTTCTTATCGTGTGCATACGATTCGACAAGCTCAAACTTGTTTGTGGACCCTGTAATAACCGATCCCTGCTGTGTGTTCTTGAGGGTGCTGTGACTTCGTATACATAGACAGATGTTTGTTGTATGTGTATGTGTAGACTGTACTGTAGTTGTGTGATTGTGCCAAAGTTCAATGGCGGTGCTGTGCATGCGTGTATCTCTCTATAGATTTGTTTCGGCGCTAGATTTCTGTTGTAATAATATATTGTTTCAAGCGCTATGGCGCCATGTTTCTTTCTCTCTTTTTTTTTTGAACCGAATGGCGCCATGTTTTTACTGTAGGCTCTCGCATAGGGATTCTCTTCACCAATGCGTTGTCCCAAAAAAAAACACAACCAACTGTTCCTTTGAGATCTCTTTGTGAAATGAATTTATCGGCAAGGAAGAAGTGGGCAAACCTGGAATTTGGTTTCATCAACAAAGCGGCCCAGCCCAATGCGCCGGGTCAGGACTAGGAACATCAGACAACAGACATGACGTTGAGTGAGATCGCCATCAGATGGCACCATCACGTTCACGTCCTTGCCGAACTCACCGAGTCACCGGGCATGTCGACACCGTCTAGGCGAGGCTGCGCCGCCGTACCTGTACTACAACCAACCACATGGAATTCTGCAGTCGGTATACACAGTAGGCCGGACGGCAGCTTAATAAGCAAATAATAAAGGGTATATTCACTCTTGTTGCCTCGATTGGCAAGGACTTGCTGGGCTGAGCTCTACCTCTACAGCGTTCATGAATACAGCGACTGGAGAAAATATGATAGCTAGGGCACCAACACGGTGGGCCGGCCTTGCTGCTGTGTCAGTGCCACTGCTCGTCTGCTCCTATCGGACACGCAGTAATACAAGTCATCCGAGTGATGTACTACCAGCCAGGGCTGGGCTTATACGACCGTAGATTATAAACTGGAACAGTATTTTTCTCTCACAGCAAATCAGCCAGCAGTAAATAATCCACGATTCAGCCTGGCCAGCCGAACAGGCTGGACATGTGTGTTTGTCGGTATTGCGTACCAAATGTCTCGAGCCATTGTCGCTGTCATATTCGACGAAGCATTCTTTTGTTAACACCGACGAGGCTGCCTGTTGGGCTCCTGTTGGCAGTTTGGCACATCGCATAATTGAAGCGGAACGGACTGAGCACCACCGTCTAAAACATGGCCGGGACCTGATGACTTTACGCGGCGCACTAGCCGGAATGACCGATCCTGCCATACACGGCAGTTCCTCCACTGGGAATCCAGTCATCCAGTCCCTGTCCCTCGTGCTCTCGTGCCTGAACCGGACTGTAATAAGGGCCAGTTTGTTTGCCAAAATTTTTGACAAAACGATAATGTAGCGTTTTCGTTGTTATTTGACAATTAGTGTCCAATCATAGTCTAATTAAACTTAAAAGATTCGTCTCATAGATTTCGTCTAAACTGTGTAATTAGTTTTATTTTTTATTTATATTTAATGCTTCGTGCATGCGTTTTCGTATTCGATGTGACGGAGAATCTTGAAAAATTTAACATTTTGAGAGAGAACTAAACAGCCCCTAAGTCCTCACTCACTCAAAGTCGCCAAAATCAGGCAGGTAGCAGCAGGTCCTGAATTCGTGGAGTAGCAGGCAGCCAGACGTCTCCGACGGCGACGTTGGCCAATGCTTCTCAGCACGGGAAGGAGCCAGCCCTATTCATGGCAAGCCTCCTTGGGCCGTGGCTCTATCGGCACGGCCGCGGGGTTTATTTCCCCGGGAAGCCATCGTTTTCTCTGGGTTCTTCCGTGGCGCGAGCGAGCGAGATCACCACGGAACCACAGGAGTTCGCGCACGGGGCGTGCCGGCCCTGCGGTGGGACCACGCGCCGCGGCGCGCCGTGCCTGTCATCATGCGGCGGGCGGCCTGCCGTCGTCCTCCCGTGGGTCGCGGCGCACGGGCGCGGATCCCACCTAACCCCGCGCCCCCCCCCCGTGAAAACCGCGCGCGGCCCCGCACGAACGCAAGCACGGGCCACGGGGGCAGGAACGCCCGGTCGCTTCGCTGGCCGCCCCCGTGCCGCGGTGCCGGCCCCAGCCCGCCAGCCCAACCGATTCGCGATTCCGGGCTCCGGTGGCAGGGGCGGATCGGTAAAAATCCGCGGGGCGAGCGAGGACAAGCGGACGCGGACGTGAGCGTCGGAAATTTCGAGAAGCGCGGAAAGGGACGCGCACTCGGGCGGGTTCCTGTCGTACTAGGTACTCAACTACTCATACTACTGTGCTACTCCGTAGACTCGACGTGGGTGGCGGGAGGGCGGCCGGGTTGGTGATTGCTGCCGTCATCGCGGCGCAGGAGACCTCGCCTCATCCAGAAGACCAGAATGAGCATGTGCAGGCGGGCGGGACGTGTCCCGGGTCTGCCGCCCTCGTGCGGTCGTGGGCTCGTGGCGTGGGCATGGCTGTGGAATGGAAATGTTCGGGGCGGCAGGCGGCCGGTTCGGTTGCTACCGTTTCACGGTGATGCGGACAATACATGACGTAGTCGTTTATAAATACGCATGTATGCTTATATTTATGAACGGTACTTACATAAATCCTATAAGTACAAACAAAACATTGTGATATCTCGTTATCGATATAAATCACCAATAACGCAAAGAAAACACCACGATATCCTAAAATAAAATTTAAAAGTACGAGCACTCGTAACAAGTAAAAGGTTTAAAACCAAATAGACATGTTCCATCGTAAAAACTAGTATTCAGTTAAGATACGCTCAATTCATGCCCCACAAAATAACCAAGTCACTAATTTAACAATGAAACAATAGTAGTAGTTGTGATCCTATTTCACACACACACACACAAAAAAAACTCGACGATGCCGCATCTATTTAGATGAGGGGAAATGATCTTTGTTTGCGGTATGAACAGGAGGAGGTAGTCTTAAAGCTTGGTGTGTTGTGCTTTGCACTATAAAATACACGCTTGTGTGGTTGGTTCATCTGACTCTGTACTAGCGTCCTTCAAATTCTCTAGATGTTGATTTAGTTTTGTAACTCATGGTACGTAAGCTAATTAATAATTTACTGACAGGGGTTTGGCTCCCGAGAAAGGATTTGGTGAGATAGTCATTTAATTTGGACCATAGATATGGCTAGGTCTCTTTTTGCAGTAAATGGTTTTCTTTAATAATAATCTTACAAGAGTTTGGATGAATCTATTCATCACTTATAGGATTTGGTAAAAGAGACTCACAAAAATAAAATAATTTGGTGAAAAGAAAGGATTTCCAAAGGGACAAGGGATGTAACGGTAAACCTAGTGCCTCATAGTAGTCATGAACCATATCATCATTTAACTGAAATGAGCCCTGATAAACAAAAACTTCTATTCTCGCTTCCATTCAGACCAAGAACTCTCAAACACATACACCGCTCTGTCTCTCTCTTCCGTTCTCTACCAACTTCTCATTTTTAACTCACATCAACATTTTCAAAAATAACACGTGATTTTTTTTGAACAAACTTTATAAAACCAAAGGAATTTAAATCTATGCACTACACCACCTGTTTAACTATATTTCACGTGTCTGGTTTCAATTCACATTATAGATTTAGATAAACAAAATCCAAATACCATCCAAACGGTAGATTCTAGGACAAACTCTAACCGTAAGCTCTAAACTTAAAAACCCTAAATCAAGACTACTGCAATCTCATAATCTATCTCAACCTGGCTAAAAGAAAACAAATGGGTGGACAAATGATGACTTCGCCCTTAGCCTTATGTGCGTATTTTTCTGTCGTCGTCACTCTCCCGCCTCCATCTAGCACACCTCCTATGAGCTGCATAGCCATCTCCGCGTCACCTATGCGAACAGCGCCACCGCCACTACGTCTGCCCGAGCCGTGCTACTGCCCATCTATGCCACCCCATGCGAGTCGCGCAAGCACTACCTCCTCTTGCCAACAAGGGTGCGCAACCGCCCCTCCATCTCTATCACTATCACCTTTGCCCGTCCACTCTAATGACAAAAGCTCTTATAGGTAGATACACCATCAGTTGTCACTGCCAATGCCCAGTGGATCTCAACGTTATCAGCAACACTTGTGCGCCCACGTGCTTGTGCATTGATTTGTTTGTGTGTTCCGTAACATGGTCACGAGAGAGACAAAGATAGATAAGGGGAGAATAAGAAGAGATTAGGGAAAACTCTGTGCGAGAGAATGGAGAGATGAAAGCAAAGGTATCTTTTTCTTTTGTCATTTTTTGTGTCATCCAACCCTTTTCCGCCCTAAGTTTTTTTGTATTTATTTAAACATCACGCACATAGGTTGGAAGATTAGGGCAATGTATCTATGATTTGTTTTGTTTAGCCGTGAGTTGTGAAAAAACTATCGTAACCTATTAGTCGTGGAAAAGTTATAGGTTGTTTAATTGGTAAACCTACTCCCTCTCTCTCTATATATCCCTGGATAAATTATCTCAGCCTAATTGAACTAATATTTCGAACACGAGAT